ACACTTCTCAAAAGAATACATTAATACAGCCAACAGACACATGAAAGAATGCTCATCATCACTGGCCGTCAGAGAAATGCAAATCAAAACCATGATGAGATACCATCTCACACCAGTTAGAATGGCGATCATTAAAAAATCAGGAAACAACAGGTGCTGGAGAGGATGTAGAGAAATAAGAACACTTTTACACTGTTGGTGGGACTGTAAACTAGTTCAACCATTATGGAAATCAGTGTGATGATTCCTCAAGGATCTAGAACTAGAAATACCATTTGACTCAGTCATCCCATTACTGGGGATATAACCAAAGGATTATAAATCATGCTGCTATAAAGACACATGCAGACGTATATTTATTGGGGCACCATTCACAATAGCAAAGACTTGGAATCAACCCAAATGTCCATCAGTGACAGACTGGAGTAAGAACATGTGGCACATATACACCAAGGAATGCTATGCAGCCATATAAAAGGATGAGTTCGTGTCCTTTGTAGCAACATGGATGCAGCTTGAAACCATCATTCTCAGCAAACTATCGCAAGAACAGAAAACCAAACACTGCATGTTCTCACTCATAGGTGGGAATTGAACAATGAGATCACTTGGACACCGGAAGGGGAGCACCACACACCAGGTCCTATTGTGGGGAGGGGTTGGGGGGAGGGATAACATTAGGAGATATACCTAATGTAAATGACGAGTAATGGATGCAGTACACCAACAAGGCATATGTATACATATGTAACTAACCTGCACTTTGTGCACATGCACCCTAGAACTTAAAGTATAATAATAAAAAAAAGGGTTATTGACCCACTTATGCCTAGCTTTCTATTACTGAAATGCTAAGCATGTGGGAGTTATTTATATTCTACTTCTCAAGGTCATCACCAAGGTCTGATTGCAAAAATTCAAAAAATTGCAGTCTCAGGCATAAATGAGTTAAAAACTTTTAAGGAGCAAGCAGAATGAGGAAGATAAATTGCAGATTGTGTGCCTAAAATAACACCTATAAATTAGTGTTTATCCAAATTCTCAACACTTCCTGCTTTATCCTGTCAGCATTTGACTTTGAATTGTATCCCACTTAAAACACAGAATGAATCAAAGCTACACACCGCCAAATCTACCCTCCTTCCTTGAGTTGTGCCCATATACTGTGCCTTACCTCCTGCCACTTCAGATCAGTTGTCCAGGTTTCCATCCACGTCCAGCCTCTCTACTTTTGCACCAGATCTCACCCTTCTCAAGAGTACAGTTTCTACAATTGTCCTCAGATTTGAGAGCTCAACTATTTCGTGCCAGCAATTCTACAAATATGTACTAATTTCATAAACCTTGGAAAAACATTCTTGATTTCCTACTGATATATTCCTATGCCCCCTTTTAAAAGGAAAAGAAGGATTTCTTCTTCAAAGAGAAGCTGCCTGTGGTAGACTTTCCTGTAGTAACTCTAACACCTTCACACGCAAGCTCTCATGAAGTCATTCATGTGAAGCTTTTGTTTCCACTTCTCCACAAAAGGACTCTTGTAAAGAATTAAAATGGCCTCTGTGTTGCTAAATTCAATGGTCGATTTCTAGCTGTCATTTTACAAGACTCCTGGTTTTTACTCTCACTTTCTTCACAACTACAGGTATTCCTTCTTTGCTGGTTCTTCCCCATCTTTCTTACATTTTTATACTGTGGAATCGCAGGGATGAGTACTCAGTCATTTTTTCTACCTATCCTGCACACCTTGATCTCCTCATCCAGACCACAGTGTTTTACCTACCATCTATGTGCTGACAGAAGCTGAACTTCTATTCTAAACTCTAATTTTTCCCTTAAATCCACACTAATATATGCAGTTCTCCACGTATCACCTGTATATCTAATATGCATTCAGATGCATCATGCCCAAAACCAAAATCTTGATCTCTACTTCCAAACCTGCTTTTCCCACAATTCCTCCATTTGCAGAGCAACACTTTTTTTCCAGTTATTGAAAACTACTTCCAAATTCAAACCATTTCCATATAGAAACTTTGTAACTTCTCCTCCTTCTTTCAATTCAATTATCATAAAGCTTATTCTCAATAGTCTAACCAGTATCATCATTTTCTGAGTTATGTCAATGCTTGTCACTCCTCTGCTCAAAAATTTCCCATGGTTTCCCATGTGGCTCATAGTGAAACTCATAAAGGCTCATGCAGCGTACTAAGTGTTTTCTTTGATCTCATTGTCTGCTAAGTACTCCTAATTCATTCCATTTCAGACAAAACAGCCCTTGCTTTTCTTCAGACTCTCCTGGAACATCCCTACCTCTGGGCCTTTAAAATTATAATTCTTGTGTCTGGAATATTTCCCCACAAACATGGAAATGGCTCACTCCTTCGTCCCTTTCAAGTTCCATATACAAGGCAACATGAATTTTCCTTTCCCACGGCCCCTTGAGTAGTCTTTGCCGTCTCCTCCACTTTATTTCTTGATTGTACCTGTCATATTCTGGCATATTATCCTTAATTTATTTATGCCCTTAGTCACATTTTGTCTCCTGTCACTGGAATGTAATTCCCATCAGGACTGTTTTGTTCCTTTGTTTATTTTTGTCTGTTTTATTCACTGCTATATTTTAACAACAAAAAAGAATAGATGCATAGGAAGGACTTGGTATTTTATTGAATGGATGACTCTTTGCAGTTTTGAAGATAGCTTACATTCAGTGATATCTGAGGGATCATGACAATCATAAGACTTTTTTTTTTTACAAGGGAAACTTTTAAGTCTGTAACTTGGCGGAAGCTGTCGGTGGATGGATAGATAGATGCTCATCTTCAGTGGATGTTTGATAGGTGGTAAGAACGCAGGTCTAGTACTCACAGAAGAAATTAGTAAATGAGCAGTGTGAGTTTACATAAGAGGAATTGTTGACACCCTAGGAGTGGAAATGGTTGCCAAGGCTGATCATTGAGGCAGAGGAAAGATGTGTGGGTATTGGAATGAAAAGCCAAACTTGGATCCAACTTGGTCTCCTGCTTTCTCTTCTAATCACCAGCTATTATTTCCTGTCTATCACTCCTTCAAAACAGGTATAAAAAGGTTAAACTGTCAATCTATATCAAATTATTGACAAATAATTGACAAAGTGGTAATAATTGAAAATTTTCATTTTTCTAAAGATGCCTGGATACTTAGATATTTAAGGGTTGTCTATTTTGGGTAACCAAAATATAACCTCTATTTTAATAAAGAGGTGGTAGAATTACCTTTGAGAAAAAGCTATTTGCCATACTATTTTTACTCATTTGTAACACTCAACAATATTCTCCTCCTTACCAAGAGTGAATTGCTTATTTTTGTTGTTGTTGTTTTATTTTTTTAACAACACGCAAGAACATTTTACATTTTCCCAAAATTTCCAAACCTTTATCATGTGGATTTAATTTGGGATAATAGAGAAAGTATTCAAAATTTGTTTGGGAAATAACCTGGCTACACCAAGCATGATGGGGTGAATGGCGGATTTCCAGGATGAGCTAAAGCAAAGAGAATTTGCTTATTTACAAATAACATATGACTAGTGCCAATGAAGTGGATTATTATATAAATAAAGCTTCTAAGATCATTATGATGGAGTTACTAAAAACTTTTTTGGTGGAAACATCTAAGGGAATTAGAATAAATGCATAACCTCTTCTATTCTCTAGAACAAGTTGCTGTTTCACAAAGGGAACTATCAAATATTGAAGTTTTGAAGGGAGCTACTAAGAAAGCATAGCTATTTCTTCTATGTTATAGAGACCCTTGAATATATGTTATGGTTCATTGTACTCCTATTGCCTGACCTGAGAAAATGCTCCTCAGATGAATTATTTTATTTAAATAGCTGCCTGGTACATGACAGATGTTACAATGTGTCATAATGTATTGAATATTTTGTAATATGTTCCACTGCCACATATAAGTTGTAAACACAGTCAGTCATGTACATATCAATTATAATTCTATATTCTTTATTACATATATGTAGTGAAACATATAATAAAATAGCAATGAGTTTATCAGAAATTTCATATGCTTTATTACCCTCTAGTTATCCTCCTTGTGATGAGTTAATCGTATTGATTTCATTAGGAACATAAATGTATTAATCTTTCGATCACCTTGGAATTAAAACATGTTTATGTGATTATTGATGGTCTTTAATAAAAATACTAGCAACATCATCTTACTAAATGTATTCGGAGCATTGCTTTATGATTTTATAGCTATTTTGACATAATTATGTTTTGAAATAACTTTTTTCTGTTTTCACATATATAGTTTGGTTGCCACTGGTAAATGGGTTACAAATTTCCTTTGGTATTTTCATGGGAAACCTATTTCTAAAAATCCAAAATGAATTAGTGAGCTCTAGTTTATTTATTTTTTTTTAGTAAATATGCCCCATACACCATTAAACAGCCAGCCACAATTAAAATTAATACATGAATTATTTTTTGAGAGTGAATCATTTGGATCCTCTGGTTACAAGAGTTTATATCCCCTTACTTCTAGAATTTTTTTATTCAGTTTCTTATGGCAAATATTAACTCATTCTACACAATAATCAAGAACAGTTTTAAATTGCTCTAACTCATATTTATCATCTGATGTGTGTATAAAGAGATAAAAATACTTTTAAAAGTACTTCCAAGTTTATCTTTAATTATACATTATCAGGAGTAAAATTTTGGCAAAATATATTCATCAGTGCTAAAACAACGTTCATAGATGATAAGAGTGATTAGTCCTCCCTACCTCTTATCCACCACCATGTATTGAAATAAATTTTCAATACTTATGATGTTTACATGTTGACCAAAAATGTCTACATTTGAAATTAGTTTCCATATTATAGATATCACAGATTCTAGATAAGTGTATTGAAATTTTTTAAAAAATCTAGCTATTATAAATTTTTAAAGACATTAATTTTTTTGTTATCTGACTTGTTTCTCTTTCCCTTTCAGGAGTTGGAATTTTCTAATTTATTTGCTGTTCTTCACTGCATTCATTCCTTCTTTGCTGCCAAGGTAGCTTGTTTGGACCCTCTATTTTTAGGCAATCAAGCTACTGTTTCTGCTGCTGCCAGCTCTGCTACCACGAGCAAAGCAAAGTATACAACTTGACGTACTGAGCTCTGCATTGACACGCACCATGACTATATAAGCAGAACACATTTACTCATCATTTAGACCCTAGAGAAACCATAACATCACCAAGTCGGCAGTGGAGGCAAATCGAAATTTTGGCAGAAAAAAGGTCATGTGGAACCTCAAAAACACTTCCATTCTGGATGACATCTGTGAAACATACTATATGAACAAAACAGTTCATTTGCTTTGTACCAGTAAGTATATTGCTTTCACCAAAAGTGGAGACAAAAATGAATTATTTGAAGAAATATGTAATATAAAAATAGTAAGCTACTTATAAATAAAAATACTTATTAAAAGATTACTTCTGTATTTTAGATTATTTTGTATCACTAGTACATGTTGGGCAGAGTCATAAACAAAGCCCTATCATTGTATTATGAGGGACATAAAAGAGTTTAAAAACCATAATCATCAAGGAGCATGCAAAAAAATCACATCAAAGAAGGATGCACTTTAATTTGCTGATGTAAATTTGCCCTCGTGTTCTCATCCCATGATTTGACACTGGCAGTCCAATTGTTTTTATCTTATTGTAAATATTCCACAGAACTTCGAAAGGATAATTACTTTGACCCATGATAGATACAATGTGGAATGGACTATTCTCCCTTCGATCACTGTTATTGAAATGTCTTATTAGCTGCCAACAATCAAGTATGCCAATAATGTATTAATTTAATTATGAGTGATGGAAAATTTCATGAACCTCTCTTTTCTTCTTTGGTTTTAAATAGATTTATATTTTACCTAATAAGATTTATTATCAAATTAAAGTTTCATAAATTTTCAGTGAACCAAAAAACTTTAGTAGAGAAAATAATATAAACAAATATGGTGTGAGAAGCAATTCTTTGTAATCTGAAGTCTACTAGCTAATCATGAACTAAAATGTCCCTCGAAAGCAGTCCCAAATCTATTATATATGCTAATTAAATGACATTTTTCCATTTCAGTACTATTTTATTAGAAACAAAGGTGATAGTTAAAGATAAAAGTTAAAAATCTTTATCTTCCCTTTTCATGGAAAGTGATTAAGTAATGTCAACTATGCAGGTTATTTTAGATATTTTGTCCTAAGAATGTAAATGTGAAAGGCTGGGAAATTTGAAAGCCTTAGAGGTGTGCAATTTACTGAGATTCCAGGTATTATACAATTAGTTGTATAATATGGAAAACATTCTCTGTCCTTTAGTACAGCTTTTTTGAGATATTTTTAAAAGTCAACTGTGTATGTAAGAAATAACAAAACAAAACTTTTTTTATTGGTACACATGCTCCCAGGTAAACCAAGTATTACATGTGTCCTTGTGGATATAACCAAGTATCTAATAAATTGATTCAATTTTCTTTTTTTTCAAATATGTTTTTAAAAATCACTCAAGAAGCAAACAAAATGATTTCTATAAAGGACAGATTTATTAATTTTAAAAATTAATATCTAGTTGTTTTTATACTCATTATGATTCATTAATTTATTTTGCATCAGATTAATTTGTAAATACCTCGAATTGAAAAGAAAAAGTGAGGGTTTATAATTGTCCCTGAGAAAATGTTAAACGGAGTCTAACATACCTTGCCCAAAGAACTGTGACAAATTACAATAAACAGTTTCAATGTAATGTATTTTGACCGTAAAACTAAGTACACATTTGTAATTAGTATAGAACTTTAGAATGATTGCATACTATATTGATCAAACACAACAGTCATTGTAAAATTGGAGCCCACCAAAAGCAGGCTTCAGTAGTAGGCCACTTCTGAACTTATGGAGAAAAAGCAGTGGGATACATCCAACTTAGAATTTTCAGCTGTGGCAGGTGGTTCATTTTAGAACTTCTGCTTCCAACCAGAGCTGAATCTCAGTGTTCCCCATATTGGGGTTACATGAATGTGTCCACAATCTGGTCTGAGGCAATATGACATGGGCTAATTATCCATAAGCAAAAGAAAAAAGTTTCAATAGTTTACCTACCTGTAATAGAATGATTTAAAAAATGTGAAATTTTGTAAACATTCAATTTCAAAATTTAAAAAATCTATTATTAGCTATATTTTTTTGATATTACAAAAATTTAGCCTATGCTCATGTATGTTATGAAGGAAAAGGTGCACAATTAGATATGTATAAATATATATCTCCTCGGAGAATACACACACACCTACATATGCATATATATATGCATATATGTGTGTATATATATAAATATAGTCAAATGCTGACCATTAATTATATTAAAAGAATATGTTTTGTGTACATACATTTAATATACATTAAATTAAGTTGTAAAATGCAGTTTGATTAAAAACTTATGACAATACCATTATGATTATTTTTGATACTATTGATAAAAAAACATAAGCTGTGATTTTTATTTAACATGATTAGTACAACAGTCAAAAAGTAACAAAATACTATTCTCATTTTCATCAGTTTAACAATTAGTGTTTAATGTTTTCTTTACAATGTGATGATTAGTCGTTGGCATTTGTTATATCTTTGACTACTTGAATGAGAAAGCTTAGAAATGAACAAAAACATATATAAATTTATCTCTCTCATATAATTTGGGTTTACATGTATGAGATTTATTCACAAAATCCTAGTTTGTACATTGAGCACATTTTAACAGCAAAACGCTAATGTGTTAACCCCTCCAGTGCCTTGGTGTGTGTGAGCATGTATGTGTGATTGGGTGTGTGTCTATGTGTGTATGTGTGAGTGTGTGTGTGTGTGTTATCATTAAATGGTTCATTACGGTGTACATAACACAAGCTTAATGGGGAATACTGTTATTTAGGTCAGAGAATGAAGTTCAAAGTCATTTGAAAACTGCTAACTACTATAACAATGTCTTTTGCCTGACAAAGAATAACAATTCATCTAAGCTGAAACATATTACAGAAAAGGCATTTATAATTTGTTATATTGCAACAAGTATTTATTTAAAAAATAATTTAATAGGTAGTGTATATGTAATGTATACCCCAACACACTTATCCAACTTTTTTAAAATGGGAGGATAATCAGGTAATTATTTCTTGCCCATATTTCAGACATGTACTAACTTATAATTTTGAAATCTTCTCTCATAAAGCTGTCCTTCAGCAAGAAAAAGAAAGCAATTACTTGAAAATAAATGTCAAGTCCGTATTAGCCATGCAAGGAGAGAAATGTTCCTTTGGGTTCATTAGTTTATAGATCAACATTTCCCTCATTTACAGTGCTGAAGCTTGATCATGAACTTTGTCTATGTTGAATGCTGGATTTAAGAAAAGCTTGATTTATTACTGAGAAAAATTAATTATCCTAACAATAATTTAGAATTACTGTTAGAAATCAGCAGTGTGGAGAAGCTTTAAAAGTACAAGGATGATCTTGTGCTTAACTTTTTAAGGTAAGTGTAGACGTTTGGATATTAATAAGACACATTTTGCTACTATTAATACTGCTGTGCTTATAATTTCTCCTTAAGAAATTGCTTTATTCATACCTCTAAAATTGTTCTTTATTGTTTATTCTTACTACTGAATACTTTAAAATCATAATGCCACTTATTTGCACATTTGAATTTGCTTTTGCAAATAAAATATTATAAATGTTATATATTTTATATATATTAAAATGTAATGAAAATACCAGAAATATAAAATGTAAATATATTTATTTCATTTTTAATTGTTTTGGTGGATGTTTGTAAAATGTAAATTAATATCTGTGACAAAAATTTGTCACTTCGTTCTTTCAGTTAATTAATGTACTACTAATAAAACCATACTTTTTTAAATGAAGCATACTGAAAAATAAAAACAAATACTTTTTACAGATTTGGGTTTTCATTTCTTTGGGTTTGATTTATAAGTTTTACATATGTTTAAAACATGATCCTGAGAGATTTAACTTCAATTAAAAGGTTTAAGATATGAACTGTGTATATGTAAGTGCAGACGATGTGGTACATAATCTGTTCTAGTTGACAAATATTTACGAAGAATAGACATCTAACTCCTAAATGCTCCTAAAGTTTGAAGAAAGATGGTATTTGTCAAATTACTTACCCAACTGAGTTACAACTTCTGAAAAATATGACATTTGATATCACTGTAATTTGTTTATCAATTCTAGTGCCTTTTCTGTAGATTAAGATTTTCTATGTTGACATCCATGCCATCTACAAGAGAGTCTGTTTTATTTATTCCTTTTTATTAAATACGTTTTAATTTTGGCTTCCTACCGTATTACACAGGTTGAAACCTCCAATTTAACACTAAATTGTTGTTTAACACTAATTGTTGAAAGTAGACATCCTTGCCTTGTAAATGATTTTAGGGGAAAAGCATTCAATCTATCACCATTAAACACTTTGTTGGCATGGGTTTTCAGTAAATGTCTTTATCAGACTAAGCAAGTTTCTATTTCTTCCTAGTTTGCCAAGAACTTAAAAGTTCATAATAAATTATGAATAAATACTAAATACTGTCATAGGCTTTTCCAGCATCATTGAAAGGGTTACATGATTTTCATACTGAGTAACACTGATTCATTTTCAAATGTTGAACTATCATTGCATTGCTGGTATCAATTCACTTGGTCATAACATATTATCCTCTTTATAAATTGTTGGATTTAATATGAATTATTCTCTGTCTCTCTTTTTTGTGATAACTTCTATAACCATCCTGGCCCTGAGTCTACTGGAGCCCACCAATCTTCTTTGGTAGCTCCAACCAGCTTTAGAGTTTTCTAGGTATGAGTCAGATACTACTATTCTTTAAGTCTTACACACTCTAGGGACCACAGATCAAGCATTTTTGTTGATGTTCTGCAGATATTTCCCACCCCTGTTTGTAGGTGCAAGAAGCACCCAATTGCCATGATAGACAGGGAAACAGAAATGTCATAAAAGTCTTACAACTCAAAAGTTTCCACTAGATTAGGAATTTAACACAGGCAAGTATGGAGAGAAGGAAGGAAACATACACCTGAAATATCAACTCCATTTAAGAAAAATCCCACAATAATATACGTATATTTAACCTGGTGAGGCTGGTCTCTAACTTTTGGGTTCACGCAATTCAACCGCCTCAGCC